CGGGTTCTTAATCCACCATACCCAGTTCGCAAGGCTGGGCGGGGTTGTGAGCAGGCTTTCATTTCATCTTTTCTTATTATTTCTGCTTTTCATCTCATTACAAAAATTCTGCGCTTTTTCTCCATCTGCGCATAAAATCTAGACTGACAACCTGCTTGTTAAATCATGCACCTGCTTTCAGGCGTAAAAACCCTGTTGTAGAGGTCTCAGTCCTCATTTGTTAGACTTACCTGTCTTTATAAATGTAACTTACTCTTTCTCTCTCTCTTCTCTCTCTCTCTCTCTCTCTCTCTCTCTCTCTCTCTCTCTCTCTCTCTCTCTCTCTCTCTCTCTCTCTCTCTCTCTCTCTCTCTCTCTCTCTCTCTCTCTCTCTCTCTCTCTCTCTCTCTCTCTCTCTCTCTCTCTCTCTCTCTCTCTCTCTCTCTCTCTCTCTCTCTCTCTCTCTTTCTCTCTTTCTCTCTCTCTCTCTCTCTCTCTCTCTCTCTCTCTCTCTCTCTCTCTCTCTCTCTCTCTCTCTCTCTCTCTCTCTCTCTCTCTCTCTCTCTCTCCGTAGCTCTCTCCCATTTGAAATTCGCTTCCATAGAATTGGGCACCATTGCCCGTTTGGCCTTGCGAAGTAAAATAAAAATCAACAACAACATATTGCACAGTGTCCGCGATGATGATTTTTCATTTCATAACAGTAATCCCCGCGGCGCTGCGCGCGCGCGCGCCTCTTGTACGGGCAAAAATACCATCTTTATCGATGATAGAAAATTAATGCAACTAAAATCCAAAACAATTTTAAAATGTAAAGAACTCAAAGCAAATGAAAAAAACCTCAAAGCAAATGAAAAAAAAACTCAAAGCAAATGAAAAGAACCCAAAAGAAAGTTCAAACCCGACCAGCAGCACACGGAGCACACACGGAGCACACACGAGGAAACAGCATAAAACTAATAAGTAAACTTCCTCAAAAAACGTATCAGTGTAAATAAACTGTAATCCGACCGGAACCTGAGCCTCCGACACGTGCACAGCTAGTGCAGCAGACGAAGCACCAGCCTCCAGAACCACGAGACGTCGGCGTCCGAACAGCTTCCTTCAACCTCGAAGACACATAACACAAGACCTACATGTAAGTACTTGAAGAAAGACAACTACCGGTAATTACTTACATCAAACATAGGCCATGGCTTGACAATACTGCTCGGACTTCTTAGCTGCCAGAAGAGTGGCCACCCTTGCGTACAATGCCGATGCCGCCTTCCCCATCCCTCCACTTGCCGACATCACCATGATCACCACTGGAACGAAAGATGCCTGCTCCACGTTCCTGACACGTTCCTCATAAAGGTTAAGTACATGATTGTACACGTGTACAGACTCAGTACTTGTACTAGTACATGTACACGTGTACTTACTAAGGCAACACATCGATTGTCCTCGCTGACCTCAGTCCCAATACCTGCTTTTCGTAGGTTTATACTAGCTGGAAATATTTCCGTCGCGTCATAACTACGTCATTGCTGGCGTTGAGAAAGGTTTGCTCTGCTATGCAGTCTGTATGTCTTCGACTTTTGTGGAACACGCATAGCTACTTTATGTCTATGGAACAGTTGATTGTAGCGTACAGCACGGTACAGGCCACTTACTTTCAAGTTTCAACGCCATTCTTTACGAAAGGAAACAGTAGAACTCTAAGTCGATAGCAGAAGGAGAAGCTGGCCGAAACGGTTGTTTAATTGGAGATTTTGAGTATTGCAAGATTGCGGAAGACAAGTGCTGCTACCTATATGTACATTAAATTTCTATTACTGGTTAAATTTTCGTCTGATGATCGATTCAGTTCGTGAAACTCAGAGTTACGAAACAGCAACTGCTCGTGCCTCTGTCTGTGCATGTACATGTTTATGAAGGATAGGCTGGACGTTCTTGGACACTGGAAGAACTGAAGGACTGCTGAACAGCTGCAGTGAGTAAGTTCTGTTTCTTATCTCTTTGACTAGGAAGTTCTAATTTCTTTTCCAACTGGCTGAAACCGTGTGCTTCAGCTGAGTGAGTACTATTATCACAATACACACTTAGCGAGATCCACTAGAAGTATCTTAGATGGAAAGGTGTCCCTTAAACTCACTACATGTACGAGTAGTCGCTCTGGCAACGACGCCTTCAGAACATTTGACGGCATTTGATATCAGCTATACTGCCCTGTACTAGTTGGGGGACGTGTGGGCGTACATTGCATTAATGCCTGGCGCCACATAATGTAGCGCGGAAGAGCGAACAGCGTAGAATCAAGCTCATCAAGCTCAGTACATGACAATGTGTGGGCGTACACCAAGCTCAGTATACAAATGTATCCACTGTACACTGTGACTCAACTGTGCACAGACTGTAATGCATGCTCGGATTACGGGTGGAGGTTTGCTTGTATTGTTCGCAGCTAGAAGTTTCCTTTACTGCTGACAAGTTCGTTTCTCGTCTTTTTCGAAGGTAGAATATTCATGAGATATGCAGTTGAAGACACCAATGCAGCAGTACTTATGGTTGGTTCAACTGTTGGTAAAACACACACCTGGCAGTATGGCCCAGCCTGCTTTGTCGGATACCACCAGCCATGCATCTAGGCGCCAGGCGCGAGCTGATGGTGTGCTGGTGGTGGTGAGAAGGAGAGCTCTGTGCTAGAATAACTTACTTTGCAGCTTAGAGAGCGTGTGAGGACAGGTATGTATTTACCACCATACTGCCACTGTGACAGGTGTGTTTTTTTGTTTTTACCACCATTTGAATCAACTAGAGTTTTCATATTACTCATATTGCTCTCTTGTTCGCATGTAGACGTTTATTCCTATACTGCTGACAGGTTTCTCGTCTTGTTCGAAGGTAGATTATTCATTATTGCTCTTATTACTCTCTTATTCGCAGTTAAGGGGGCAGCCTGGTCGTAAAATCCCTGAAAATCGAATTTGTAAATTCATATCGAGTGCTACATCAGTTGAACGAGCATGAACAGCTGCATAATCTCTGAAAATCTTGTCTCGATCTGACCAGCCGTTCAAGAGTTATGGCCGAAAATGTGCCCTTGTAAGGAAAGATTTTTTTGTTGCGCGCTGTCATTCTGTTGGCAGCACTGTATTTGAATGTGAGCTGACCGTGCGCAACTTGTCGTATCATGGAAACACGCGAAAGTGTGCAGAATTTTGCTCCAAGTCCAAAAAATCACGTTTTTGAGCCACGTATTGGGCTGCACGGCGCGGTGGGTAAAGCCCGCCGCCGTGCAGCATGACTTTTGCCAGCACCCTCGTGACGTTGCAGATATGTGGCTTGATTATTGTAGTTGACGTTGATTTAGTGACTTTGGCAAGTTTCAGTCGTGTCAAGAAGTCAGGTAGGATTCAGTACTAGGCAGTAGTGGAACGTGAGTGGTAGTCTTTGCCGGTTTCTGAGGGTATCCTGGATTTGGTGTGCAGCGCTGTGGAAATGGCTTGCTGTGGACGTCCCGTCACAGGATGTTGAAAAAAAGGTACGACCTCGTAGCACGTGCTGAACCTAAAAAAATTCAAAAATTGACTTGGGTCTGTGGGAGTCTGTGAGAGAACGCCCACTCGTTCCGTTGTGACAGATTGCAGGGCCACGTTGAGGGGCCCTACCCCACCACCCATGGCTGCTTCTGGACTTGTTTTAGGTTCGGGTCCCGCGCACGGACAGAATGGGCACGAAAATGTGAAAAAATTGTGAATGCATTTGTTTGGCTCCTGGGTGGCTCGCACACCGCGGCACTATGCCGGAAATTTGAGTTTTTCCGGCCTGGAAAGCCTGTCAGTGAGGCGCAAGAACTTGTAAATCATGTCCTGAGGGCTAGCATAGTGAGAGGAGTGTGTGGTCAAAATTTCACTCAAATCCATTGAGAAACACCAAAGTTACGGTCAATTGAATGCCATATGAAATTTATGGGTAGGCCGCCCCCTTAAAGAATACAAAAAGAATACATAAAGAATACATTACACAAGAGAGAGATTGGAAGCTTTGTTACAACTCTGAGTTGTAACAAAGCTTCCAATCTCTCTCTTGTGTACAATGCTCTGCCCTACATGATTTCATTTATTTTATTATTTATTTATTACAACATCTCAAGACTTGGTGGAAACACCGGCCAATGTTAAGAGAGTGGGTGACTGCCAACCACGGCGATAAATAAAAATAAGGGGAGGGAAAAGAAAGAGTAGCAAAATGAACAGCAACAACAACTCCGTAAAGAAAGATAATGTCAAATAAAAACAGTGGAAAACACAGAGACGCAAAGGGCATGTGGATAATACACAGAGACGCAAAGGACATGTGGATAATACACAGAGACGCAAAGGACATGTGGTTATTATTGAGCACTCTTCGGACAGTGAAGCAAACCACATGACTACGTAAAGAATACATTAATAAAACAATACATAAACAATACATACAATAGCGGCAATGAAGAAGCCCACAAGCGCGCATGACGATTTTGTAATCGACATTACATACAAGTACTATTATTATTATTATTATTATTGAAATGTATTATCTACGCATGCATCTACGCAAGAGTCACCACCAGTCAATTAGGACATGTGTCAAAGTATTGAACGTTTTCGTTCCCTTCTTGTCAAAATACTATAGGGAATGATGGAAATAGGCTAAAAGACTACAACTATAAGGAAAAGAAGTTCAGAAATATATCACTCCAATTATGTGTAGAAGTGACACGAAAAAATAGATGTGAAGAAACAAGAAAACAGCATGCAAATCCAATAAGTGACAAAAACGTAGTGACAAGAAAAAGAGAGAAATATCAAGAGATCTATTTCGCACCTTCACGACGAACAGTGCCAAACAACTGCAAAGACAACACATTCTCCTTCTGAACACAAAGCTCAGGGTCTAACTTACGTATGTACAAAGCTTCCAACACGGCAAGATGTAACAAAGACCTACCACGCGACAAAACAGAGAATACATCATCGGAATACCACTCACGACAACTAGCACGGCCGTCGGGCAGTGCTAGTTGTCGTGAGTGGTATTCCGATGATGTATTCTGGGATAACCCAGTTCGGATCGTCGGGAAGGCCGGGAGAGACAAACTGTTTGTTCAGAGTGTCCGCAATGGACTTTGCCTCAGACTGACTGTTGCCATCAGGATCAATCAAGCACTGGATTGGGGCGCGAGAGACACTGGGACGCTGGGTGCGAATGAACTGATAGAGAGAAGGACGATTGGGTGATGAGATTGTTGCAGAGAGGGAGCTGATGTAAGAGCGGTAAGTTTTACGGGATAGGTATTTGACAAAGTTGCGTTGAACTCGGTAGGCCTCCATATTGACAGGTGTCGGAAATTTTCTGCTGACACTGAAGAGGTCTCGTTTACGTTTCACTGCAGATACGAGGACAGTCGACACCCAGGGTGGATTGGATGTCACAGACGATGTGCGTGTGTTTGACCGACAAGAATGGGTGGAAAAATCAGCGAGGTGGTGCTGGAAGGTTTGTTCTAGGACGATTGAAAATCGATCGACTGCGTCGTCAACAGTTGGGGAGTTGCCTGGGCGTAGAAATGACCAGTCACAATGAGAGAGATCGGAATTAAGAGAGTCCCAGCAGTGAGAGGGGACATGACGATTGCGGTAAGGGAAATGTTTGCGTGGTGCTTGCTGCAGATGTTGGCCAGGCGATGGTGAGAGCTCGAACCAACATAACACGGTCAGATGATCCGAGGATCCAAGAGCGCATGTCGTGTTAATATCCGTTGCAAGCTGGGGGTTGTTGACGAAGAGAAGGTCTAAGCACGCCTGGGTCCCTGCAGGTGTTGTGTGCGTTGGGGTATTCACAAGCTGCTCTAGTCCGAAGCAGGTGAGGTGGCGGTAGAGCGCAGCTCCCGCGGGGGACGTTGAGTCAGTTGGGCACCAGTGCTGGTGCTTACAGTTGAAGTCTCCAGTCAGTATGACGTGGTACGAGGACATGGGGATAGTGACCAGGGCATCGGTGAGCATGTTACAGAAGTGATTTATCTCTGTGCTTTTGGCAGAGGGTGGGCGATAGGCACTACAGACAATAATAGGCTTTGGGGAGCCGGAACAAGGTTTAAGCTCCACCCACACTGTTTCACAGGTAGGGCGACTGAGGTCGTTGCGAAGTTGGATACAACTGAAACGATGATCACGAACGAGAATAGCGACTCCACCATATCCCCTGGAGGCGGTACCAGACTTGTTTTCGTTAGGAGGTCGATCATGCCGAAAGGTGGTGTATCCAGAGATACTAAGAGCGACACTTGGAGCTAACCAGGTTTCACTGAGGCAGATAATGTCAGGTCTGTGGATCTCGGCAATAGCCGACAATTCTGCGGATTTGTTGAGAACGGAGCGGAAGTTAATGGAGAACAAGTTTAGCTTTTCCTGGCAGCGCGGGTAGTAGGGCCGAGTCAGTGGATTTAGGTGGGAATTGGCCATCATTCGCTAGCTGTTGCGACATCGTTTGTGCTGGTGCCAAAGCTGTCACTTTTGAAGCGCCAGGGTCGGATGGTGTGGGAAAGCATGTCAGGCCAGAATGCCTTATTGGCTACTTTCTCCTCGTCGGCTGCCTCCACAGTCACGCGTGCATATGCTGTCCTGAAGTAGGCTGATGCATAGACGACGCATTGCACTATGTCGACCCCATGATCGGAGCACCATTTAGCAATAGATGATGCGGAGCAGCCACATTCTATTCCCAATAACGTCTGTTCTTCTTTTCTCTCTTTCTCCTTTCTAGCACTGTCTGTCTTATCATTCCCCTCCTTCTAATATACTGTCTCTTCTCCTAACATTTCGTATCATGTACCTGTCACTCCTTTCATTTTTTCTTCTTTTTTTGGTGCGTTTTATGTCCCCATGACGTCGAGACCTCAGGTCGGCTGAGGGCAAAAAGCCTCACCATCACTATGCTCCCACTATGCAATTTTTTGTCTTTGTCTGTGAGCTGTGATCATTGTAAAAAAAAAAAGAAAAAAAAGTGAGGTTGCACGTTCCCAATGTAAAAGACCTTACGCTTTGCCCGGGGCGCTGCCGTCAACTCAGCAACATGGCCACCGGCGGGGGGTGTTTCGTTTGTGTAGCGGGACTTCTCCTCGCGCTTGGTGATCATGGATGTCTGCATATTACTTATTATAGCAATAAAAACTGCTTTATGGCAGTTTTCTAAAAAAAGTTATTGTGTTCTAGTCCATGGACCCCGTCTAAAAAGTAAGAAATTAACGAAATGTGATAGCCGAAAATTAAAATTTCACACAAAACCTCACAATAATCACAACACTTGAAATGCTGCTTTCAACACTAAACTTGTACTGCACCAACAATTGGCAACATGCATGTCATGCATGCATAGGAAAGAGGATCACGAGGGGAAAAGGTCTTCTACATGTAGCTTTTCATTCTGTGTGTGATTATTGTGAGGTTTTGTGTGAAATTTTAATTTTCGGCTATCACATTTCGTTAATTTCTTACTTTTTAGACGGGGTCCATGGACTAGAACACAATAACTTTTTTTAGAAAACTGCCATAAAGCAGTTTTTATTGCTATAATTTCTTTTGTTTTTTCTGTCACCAATCAATGGAATGCCCTATATCAAGAGTGCATAAACAAGGACTCTTGCCTATATCAATATGTAAATTTAAACTAAATGATGGCCTTCACATCATAATCAATACCGTATTATACGCATTGATGTGCAAGCCTTTTCTTGCAGAAAATGGCAAAATGCATGTTCTTCTGCGGGGAAACATGTGAGTACGTAGTGGTGGACCGTGGTAATACTTTTTTTATACGGAGGTCATTCTGTGCATGTTGCTGTAGCAGAATTTCATGACTGTCATAAAATTGTTTTGCCTTCAGATATTTCAGATCTCCCCACCCTCGATCAGATTTATTTGAGAAATGTAACCAGGTACGTGTCGCAGATGTTTTTGTTGATTCTGTGTTTATAATGGTTTATAATCATGGGTTTTCGTGATAAGGTCATCCTGCATCATATTGCACTGAAATCGTAATCCTGTTGATGTCGATACAACTTTTGGAAGTAGTTCAATGACTTCAAACTGTTAGTCCACGATTTTCTAAAACAACACAGCAAAAGAGGAACAATAAACATGACATTGTATTAAAATGTAAACAAATACATTGCTGAGTCCGACACCTCCTTCCAACAACTACACTGATCTTGAGGATAAAAGGGGCAAGGCGTTGGAGGTACTGAGAGATAAACAAGGCACTCCATAATAATAAAATCTTACACATCTTTTGGTGAGTATGAATGATATCCAGTCGAACCTCTTTAGGACGAACACCAAGGGACCAATGGTATTTATTCTGTGAGTTTGTCTTAACCTATCCCCCCCCCCCCCCCCCCAGTGAATACAATTATTTCTCCAATAGACATACGAATAGATTTCTTCTACAGCGAAAGATGATTCTAAGTCACACCAACTCATTGACTGGTCTCATGTGAAACAAATGAGTAACTAGAGAGGTTCTGCAAAACGAAAATGCGTACAAACTTTCGTCCTACTTCATGAAGTGCGAAATTTTGCACGAACTTTCGCAACTTTGGACGCGAAACTTGCAGGGAACGCGAAATGAACTGTCGTAGGAAAATTCGTGAGATCGGGTCATGGCGTACGTGCACTTGGCCCACGCAAACTACGAAAATGTGCAGAACGCAAAATTCGTGCAAAAATTCGTACACACTTTCGCAAGGACTGTCGCGAAACTTCGTTCGAATTTTCGTTTTGCAGAACCTCTCTACTGAACCTTTCTTTAGAAACATGACGGCAACTGAAACAGCAACAGAGAAAGTACGATACATGTACAGCACATTCTTGCAGGTACATGTACTACAAACAGATTGCAGATCGTAATTCTTGCTTTGGCGGCACGAAACTTTATTTGGGGCAGTGCAATCTCGGCGGTACTCACAAATAATAAATCAAACAGCCCAGACTCGAGTAAACAAATCCAATCATACAAGTACAAGATCTTCACGAGACGAGACTGCACCCATTGGCTTGTTTCGTATGAAGCAAACAAGTTACTGATCCTCTCCACAATGGAGATTTTCCCTGATATGCGAATATATTTTGCAAACTCGGTCAATGGGTCCTTGAACCTTTCCCTCCAGATTGGGAACTGCCAACGATAGTATGCCACTGACCAGTGCCTTACTTGTAACGTACCAATGTACAATGAATATGAGTATTTCGACAACACATCTAACATAAGCCTTACCGTCAAGAAGGTGAACTCGCGTTCTTCGCACACTCTAGACAAGGGCAAAGAGATAAAAATGGATCTAAATCCGAATAAAATCAGCACACGTTTCCGTAAATGAAAGGGTGAGCATAAGCAAATGAATTGAAGGAAACAAAGAGATCCTGTCAGCTTTTCCATTACTAATTTTATTGCATTCCGCCCAAAATCAGCACACTTTTCGTAAATGAAAGAGTCAACACAAGCAAATGAATCAAAGGGAACTGGTCAACTCACCTGTCATTGAGTAATATTCCGCGAAAGGAGGTCTTAGCAGCGCCGAAACGAAATAAGCCAGGCCAGGAGACGAAATATCCGAAACAGCTCATACAAGAAGCAGTTCCAAAGAAGGAAATAAGTTCCTCGCGCATGCACATCCGCGGATCCGAACGTTCGAACGTTCGAACACGGACTGCACTGCAACACAATGTCTGCCGTGCACGTGCACCACACGCGGCTACCAGCCGTTGGTAGATCTAATACCGAGCACCTTACGTAGAGACTTACGTAGCCTAAGTGAAATACCGAGCACCTTACGTAGAAACTTACGTAGCATAGCGGTGTCGTTTTTCTTGCCATGTGAACACAATAATAGAAAAGCTGACAGGATCGCTTTTCTAAATGTGGATAATACACAGAGACGCAAAGGACATGTGGTTATTATTGAGCACTCTTCGGACAGTGAAGCAAACCACATGACTACGTAAAGAATACATTAATAAAACAATACATAAACAATACATACAATAGCGGCAATGAAGAAGCCCACAAGCGCACATGACGATTTTGTAATCGACATTACATACAAATACTATTATTATTATTATTATTATTGAAATGTATTATCTACGCATGCATCTACGCAAGAGTCACCACCAGTCAATTAGGACATGTGTCAAAGTATTGAACGTTTTCGTTCCCTTCTTGTCAAAATACTATAGGGAATGATGGAAATAGGCTAAAAGACTACAACTATAAGGAATAGAAGTTCAGAAATATATCACTCCAATTATGTGTAGAAGTGACACGAAAAAATAGATGTGAAGAATCAAGAAAACAGCATGCAAATCCAATAAGTGACAAAAACGTAGTGACAAGAAAAAGAGAGAAATATCAAGAGATCTATTTCGCACCTTCACGACGAACAGTGCCAAACAACTGCAAAGACAACACATTCTCCTTCTGAACACAAAGCTCAGGGTCTAACTTACGTATGTACAAAGCTTCCAACACGGCAAGATGTAACAAAGACCTACCACGCGACAAAACAGAGAATACATCATCGGAATACCACTCACGACAACTAGCACGGCCGTCGGGCAGTGC